TTAAGATTTATTTATTTACTTTAAAGGCAGAGTTAGAGGGAAGGAGGGGAGAAGAGAGAGAGAGAGAAAGAGAGAGAGAGAGAGAGAGAGAGAGAGAGAGAATCTTCCATCTGCTGGTTCACTCCCCAAAATGACCACAGCTTCCAGAGCTGAGCCGATCCAAAGCCAGGAGTCAGGAGCTTCCTCCAGGTCTCCTATATGGGTGCAGAGGCCCAAGCACTTGAGCCATACTCTCCACTTTCCCAGGCACATTAGCAGGGAGCTGGATTGGAAGGGGAGCAGCTGGAACTTGAACCGGCACCCATTTGGGATGCCAACACTGCAGGCAGTGACTTTACCCAATCCGCCACAGCACTGCCCCAGTTCTACAGATCTTCACTAGACACTCTTAGGGCCAGATGTATTTCAATGTTTTTCACATTTTAGTAAGGTACCAGAGTGGATACACTTTACAATACATTAATAGTTCCAAGTGCAAAAGCTACAAAGGCCAGATATTCATTTTTTTTCACATCCCCTTGGTAGCTAGGAGATTGCAATCTAGGATTTACCAGTGTGGCAAGCTCCTAAAGACCACCTTCTGAGTCAATGATTTACCAGAAAGACTCAGAATTCAGAAAAGTTGCTAAACTTATAGCAATGGTTTACTACAGTGAAAGGCTACAGATAAAAATCAACAAGGTAAAAAGTACATAGGGCACAGTCCAGGAGAGACCAGGCACAAGCTTTCAGTAGTTCTTTCCCAAAGGAGTTGCATGGTCAGTGTTTAATTCTCCTAACAATGGTGCATGAAAACACGTGGAGTTATTGTCAACCAGGGACGCTTATTCAAGTCCTGGTGCCCAAGATTTTTTTTTTGACCGTCAATAAGACAGACCTGGAGCACTTATGTGACTGACCTTGTTTATTACTCAACTTCCAGTCCACGCAGAAGTCAAACTAATACTGTGAGGCTCGGGGTCAACAAAGACACTCTCTAATCGGACAGAATAATCTAAGGTCTTACAGGTTATCACCTAGAAGTCAAGAGCCAAACCCTTCTTTGCAAAATACCTTTTTTGTTTTTGGAGGGGGAGGGTGCAGGGTGGAATGCACACTGGTTTGAACACTCTAGACCTCTTCACTACACAATCACAACTCCCACCTAACACTTTGAAAGGAGCAATTCAACGATGCAGTGATGGAATTCATACCACAGTTGTGATGGGAACAACAGCCACAAGGAAATCCAGTTTCTGGGGACAGAATTGGCAGCAGGGACAGCATCCAGCAGTAATGTTACCCAAACAGCTATATTTATGATACGACTTTTTAAAATACAATTGGTGCTCACCAGCTTTTTTTAAATTAAATCTACTTTTAGATTATTACATTTTTTAAAAATTTTAAATCATTTTAGATACACAAAGAAAGAGATACTACAGACATCCTATGTGTCCTTCATCTGCTTCCCCTAAGACTTCTATTTATGTAACTAAAGTACAAAATCCAAAATTAGTACATTTGTATATAGGAAGGTACTTCAAATGTTCCTGGAAACCATGCATGAATTTCAAAGTTTTTGCATCAAAATAAACTTATCCTTTGATTCCATTTTTTCCACAAATTCTTTGAGGTATTCCCGTATCACCACAGCAATCAAAATACAGAACTATTCCATTAATATAAAGATTTCCCTTGTACTACCCTTTTATAATCACATCCCCTTCTCTTCACCAACTATCAACCCTAACTGTGGGCAATACACTGTGTTCCCTATTTTTATAATTTCTATCATTTTAAGGTTTTAAAAATAAAATCATACAATAAGTCATATTCTGATACTGGCTTTTTTCACATTCAGCATAATGCCTGTGAGATACATCCAAGTTGTATGTATGAGTAGTTTATTCCTTTCTTAAAATTTTATTTTTATTTATTTGAAAGACAGAGAAACAGATGAAAATCTCTATCTGCTGATTCACTCTCCAAGTGCTCACAACAATCAGAGATAGACCAGGCCAAAGCCAGGAGCCAGGAGGCCAATCCAGGTCTTTCCACGTGAGTGGCTGGCACCCAAGTACTTAAGCCATCACCTGCTGCCTCCCAGGGTGCACATTAGCAGGAAGCTGGAATTAGAAGGAGAGCTGGAACTTGAACCCAGGCACTCTGATATGGGATGTGGGTATCCCAAGCAGTGTCTTAACCACTGTACCAAATGCTTGCCCCAGTTTTTCCTTTTTATTGCCGTGTACCAACCCATGGTATAGATGTGTTACAATTGGTTTAACCATTCATCCACTGAAATATCTGCATTATTTCCTGTCTGGGGCTATTACAAATAAAGCTGCCATAAACATTGGGATAAATGCCCTAAAGTGTGATTGCTGGGTATATTAGTCAGCTCTTCATTGCTTTAACTAAAATACCTTAGAGGAACTTTTTAGGAAGGAAAAAGTTTATTTCAGCTTACAGTTTGGGGGTGGTCACAGTTTAAGATCAGGCAGCCCTATTAGTCTCCTGTCTGGTGGAGGCTGGCAATGGTGGAGTTTGTGCAGAGGAATGATCACATGGCAAGCCAAAAAGCAGAAAAGCAGCCAGGACTAACTGCTTAAATAACTAACATCGCAAGAGCTACCGTCCAAGGGCAAACTCCCAATAACCTAAAGATCTCCCAGTGGGCCCAACCTCCTAGCTGCCATAATTAGATCAAGTGTCCATTCAAATCCTTTAACCATTAGCATTAATCCATTAACGCTTAACATACGACTTTGGGGCTTAAACCTCTGCATGCATTCTGAGAGCCAAGTCCTGTTCAATCTGTAACACCTGGTGTTACACCAAGTCTAGGTAAGTTTTACAAGGAACTCCCAAATGTTCCTGGAGGGGGTTGTACCATTTTATGTTCTCACCAGCAACGTGGGAGTGATTGTTTCTCCAAATCCTTTCCAGCATCTATTGTTGTAGCATTTAGGTCTGCAACATCTTACTTTGTTTTCAATTTTCATTTCTCTAATGGCTAACAGTGTTATTCTGTCATGTGTTTATCTGCCATCCATATATCCACTCTGATGAAATGTCTCATGTGTTTTGCTCAGTTTCTAATTGGATTGTTGCACTTCCTCCATCCCTGCCTCACTCCTTTCCTTCTGTTGAATCTTGAGTGTATATATTTTATGAGTCTTTTGTTAGATTTTATGGTTTGTGACTATTTTCTTTCCTTGTAGCTTGTCTTTTTTCCTCCTCTTAACAGAATATTTTGTGAAGTAAAATTTTGAGTGAGTCCAATCTGTTGATTCTTTTTTCCTATTAAGGATTGCGGGTTTTTTTTAATATTATTTCGAAGAACTCTTCAGTAACAAAGCATGCAGAATGAAGGCAAACAAACAGTATTTGTTACCTGCCTACATACCTTAAAATAATGTCTAAAGGAAACTTTCAAAAAAGAAATTGAGAATTCTAACAAGGTTGGTAGCCTCCATGGTGTCTAAAACTGCTGTCATTATCTTGGTGTTCCATGTAGGCAAGGTGCTATTTCTCTCTCTGGTTGTTTTCAACACTTTTTTGTTTTCAGTCTTTAGCCTTCAGAAGTTTCAAAATTATGTTACTTATTGAGATTGCTCCTTACTGTTGTTCCTAATGTTTCAACAAATCAGATGAGATAACAAAATGAGTGCTAGGCATATTGTAAAAGTGACCCAATTACTTCTTTTCCTTATAGTATGCTTGCACATTAAGAAATCACTACACACACAGAGACTTCCAAAAGTTTCTGGAAAATAGAGTTCACTCAGCTTCTTGAATCTTTGAATACGGGGGATAGTTTTCATCTCCCACTCTGCTGCACCAAATGCCTACTCCAGTTAATTTTTCTTTCCTAATTTGCTGGATTTTCCAGTTCTTTATTTTTCTATTAATTCACTACACCTTCTTTTTTGAGATTTTCTATTTCTTTGCTGAGGCTTTCAATTTTTCCACTTGTTCTAAACATTTTTACAATTGCTCATTGAAAAAAATTTTAGGATGACTCAGAGATGTATTTTTAAATCTCTGTTTAAAAATCTGTCACAGAAGAAAATTAAAGTGGCATAGGCATTGATTTGGGGCACTTAAAAATGGAATTAGAGTGGTGCTTGTTAAAACAGGCCTAAGGCACATCTGCCACTGAACTCAAACTGGGCTGTTTTACACATACCCACCTGTGTACATGCAGACCTTGTAAAATGGACTGAACTGCTATTTCTGGAATGAAACTCATTACCTTCTCTAACAGTTTGTGAAATCATCCCACTTGCTTCCTGAGAACTGTGTCCAATCCCCTTCTTACAGGACAGCCTGACCTTTGCTGCACCAATCATAATTCCTGACAAACAGGAGATGCAATTAACAATCCCCCTTGCACTTTGGGCTATGAAACCATCCACCATTTTATAAAACCTCAGAACAAAACAAGTTTTCAAGGCTGCTTGAATTTGTGTCCCCTACATTGCAATCTTAGTAATAAGCCCAAAACACACACAATTTTTTTTCTCAACTAGACGGATTTTATCTCAATAAACAAATCTTTCCCAGATGATTCTAATATCTGTGTTATTTTGATGTTGGTGCATGACCGTTTATCTTATTTAAGTTGTGATTATTAAAGTTCTCAGTATAAGAAATGATTTTCAATTGAGCTTTGGATATTGCAAATATTACACTATGAGAATCTAGCTAGACCTTATTTAAATCTCTGTCTTATCACATTGGTGTGGACATCCACATTCCCCTTAGCCTCCACTGATACTCCTTGTTACTTAAGATTCTTTCTGCTTCATATTATGCCTTTTTTCAGTTTTTTTTTAAATTATTTTACAATTTTTGAACATTTTATTCTTTCACTGATTATCATTCTGAATGGGAGACTTGGGTGCCTAAACAATTCTCTCTGAATGGCCTTTATTGAGACCACTTATGGATGAGTGTCATGGTTACTGTTGAGTGGTGATAAAAATCCTGACTGGCCATTAGGTCTCCTCTTAACAACACCTTTGGTTACAGCAGGCCCGTTCCCTTTGGCCTCTCATAGTGTCTCACGTTAGAGCAAACTGTGGCCCCGAACCATTGTCTGGCCTCCTTCCACAGTTGTTGGCACTGAAGTGGGTTGCACAGTACGGGGATGGAAACACCTTTGGTTAGAGGGAGGATCATCTCATTAATACACACTAGTGGTGAAGATCCAGGTTTCCAACATGGTCCTACTGACATCAAGCAGATTACACTGTTCCTATTCTGCATTTGCCCTTCTCCTGACACCATTATGTCAAAGAATTAAATGAGATCTCATTATAGCCTGGCAAGGATAGAGGGATAAGATACCTAGTTTGTCTCTGTTGGCAGGGGTGCAGCCCCAGTCTTTGTCCTCGGGTATTTAGCTACAGTAAAGCAGTTATTGTCTAAATTTTCTTTTTGCTTTCCTATATTTGTTCTTTGGATAGAGAAACAGCAGATTTATATTGGGGCTTTTTCTTTTGTCTCCACCCTTTGCTGTTTCCAGTTTGCCAGCCTCTCTAGCATGTGCTCTGGCATATATGCAGCAAAAAACAAGCCCAGGAAATTCACTTCTATATCATTCTTTTTTTAAAAGATTTATTTATTTATTTGAAAGTCAGAGTTACACACAGAGAAAAGGAAAAGCAGAGAGAGAGAGAGAGAGAGAGAGAGAGAGAGAGGGGACTTGCAACCGTTGGTTCACTCCCCAACTGGCTGCAACAGCTGGAGCTGTGCCAATCCGAAGCCGGGAGCCAGGAGCTTCTGCCAGGTCTCCCACATGGGTGCAGGGGCCCAAGGACTTGGGACATCTTCTACTGCTTTCCCAGGCCATAGCAAAGAGCCGGATCGTAAGTGGAGCATCCGGGACTTGAACCGGCGCCCACATGGGAGCCAGCACTGAAGGCAGCAGTCCTACCCACTATGCTACAGCTCCGGTCCCACTTCCATATCATTCTTTAGACTCCAAGTTTCTTACCAGAGTATACCATCTCTCCTCAACTTTCAGAGTCTTCTTATATTTGGTTTACATATTATGTCCAGGGATGAATAGGGAAAAATATATATATCCCATTTATCCTTTCCTCTGGAAACACAAGTCTCCAACTCTAGTGCTTTAAATATATAACTTTATTATGTATCATCAGTGTTTTAAATATGTATTTTAAATATATATTTCAAAACTTTGTAGAAAATATAATTAAAAGGTAAGTTTATCTTGGTACAGAAAATTTAAGATACATGTATATTAGTGGTCTTCAAAAAAATTCATGGGGGAGCCCCTGCACCTGCATAGGAGACCTGGAGGAAGATCCTGGCTCCTGGCTTTGGTTCAGTCCAACTCTGCCCAGCTCCGGCTGTTGCAGGCATTTGGGGAGTGAACTAGTGGATGGAAGTCTCTATCTTTCTCTCTCTCTCTCTCTGTTTCTCCCTTTCACTCTCTGAATTTCTGCCTTTCAAATAAATAAAATAAATCCTTAATAAATTATTGAGTAGGGGCCGGTACTGTGGCGTGGCGGGTAAAGCTGCTGCTTGCAGTGTTGACATCTCAGATGGCCAATGGTTCGAGTCCCAGCTGCTCCACTTCCGATTGAGCTCTCCACTACGGCCTGGGAAAGCAGTAGAAGATGGCCCAGATGTTTGGGCCCCTGCACCCATGTGGTAGACCCGGAAGAAGCTCCAGGTTCCTGGCCCAGTTCCGCTGTTGCGGTCATTTGGGGAGTGAATCAGTGGATGGCAGAGTCTCTCTCTCTCTCTCTCTCTGCCTCTCTGTAACTCTGCCCCTCAAATAAATAAAAAAAATTTTAAAAAATAATTGAGTATTTTTTTGACAGAGTTAGTGAGAGAGAGAGAGAGAGAGAGACAGAGAGAAAGTCTTCCTTTTCCGTTGGTTCACCCCTCAATGGCCGCTATGGACGGTGCGCTGTAGCCAGCGCACCACACTGATCCGAAGCCAGGAGCCAGGTGCTTCTCCTGGTCTCCCATGCGGGTGCAGGGCCCAAGGACTTAGGCCATCCTCTACTGCACTCCCGGGCCATAGCAGAGAGCTGGACAGGAAGAGGAGCGACCGGCACAGAATCTGGCGCCCTGACCGGGACTAGAACGTGGTGTGCCGGTGCCACAGGCAGAGGATTAGCCTAGTGACCCGCGGTGCCAGCCAAAAAATAATTGAGTATTAATCTCAATAGGTAACATCTCTTTTATTTACCCTGAAATGACTTCACCACTTCAATCAGAATGATTATTATAGTTTTCTTGTAAGTCCCTTTTACAAATCGTTATTTATTTATTTATTTCCCTATTTTACTTTGAGTTATTCATAATGCCTCTGTCTTCCTTATTCTCCAATCTAATTGATCTGCTATTCCTGTAGATTCTACCACATTACATACACTTTGATTCCATTCTATTCTTTCTCTCTCACTTTTTCACCTTCACCGTCTTGTTAGAAGGGATCACAGAAAGAGGGAGAAATGAAACAATCAGGTGGAAAAGAGAGGGTCTAAAGAGGAAGAGAAGGAAGAAGGAAAGAAGAAAATACTGATGAAGGGTGAATAAAAATAACCATTGGAAGTAAATGGACTTAGGACAGTAACAAAATATAAGGAAGTGGATAGTAAGTTGAAGTTGAAAAAGAAAAACAGGAGGAAAGAGAGTAAGGATGTAGAATATAGAAAGGAAGAGTGAATGTAGGATAGAGAAGTGTGCGAGGGAAGTGGGAGGAGACATAATGGGGGATGCTACAGATAGAATGTTTGTCCCCCCCACCCCCAAATTCAGGTATCAGAGTATACAGTGTTCAGAGATGAGAACTTTGGGAGGCAATTAGGTCCTGAGGGGAACCCCCATAATGGGATGAGTGTCTTTGTAAGAGGCAAGGAGAGCTCCCTTCCACTCTGCTCCCCCATCTTCTGAAGACACAATGAGAAGATAGTTATGTATAAACCAGGAAGGAGAGGGTCTTTACCAGGTACTAGATCTGGAAGCTCTTTGGCCTTGGACTTTCTAGCGTTCAGAATTGTGAGAAATAATTTTCCGTTGTTAAAGCCACCCAGTCTATGGTACTGTTATACAAAGTACTTCATAAAGTCCGTGGAAAATGGAAACAAATGTTTATTTTGATGCAAATAATTTAAAATCCATGCAATTTTTCATAATATATATTTTCCATGTACTTTTTGAAGACCTCGCATAGCAGCATGAACTAAGTTACAGGGGTAAGGAGTAGAAACAGGACAGGAAAATAAATGAGAGGAAAAGAGGAAGGAGGAAGTACAGTATATAATCAGGGAAACAAAAAAGGTGTTTGATACAAGAGGGACAGGGTCAGAAGAAGAAATGAAGTAGAATCACACTTCACCGATGGCAGATTTCATTCTGCAGAGAAAAGATTGTTGAGTGTTAAAAGTTCTCATTTTCTCTCTTCAGATATCCCATTCCCTTTATATTGGTATCCATCAAAATGCCGGAGGTCATTTCTCATATACTATCACTCTGGCCTTGAGATAAGAGTACTACTGGGGCCAGCGCTGAGGTGTAGCCAGTAAAGCCGCCGCCTGCAGTGCCAGCATCCCAAATCGGCACCAGTTCAAGTCCTGGCTGCTCCACTTCCTATCCAGCTCTCTGCTATGGTATGGAAAAGTAGCAGAAGATGGCCCAATTCCTTGGGCCCCTAAACCCATGTGGGAGATCCGGAAAAAGCTCCTGGCTCCTGGCTTCAGATCGGCTCAGCTCCTGCCATTGCAGCTAATTGGAGAGTGAACAAGCAAGCTATGGAAGACCTCTCTCTCTCTCTGCCTCTCTTTCTCTCTGTGTTTAACTCTGACTTTCAAATAAATAAATAAATAAATCTTTTTTTAAAAAAAAGACTACTATAGTTCTCAACTATAGGAACCATGCAGGCGTGGACTTTTGGCTTAGTGGTTAAAATGTTGGTTAAGATACCCACATCCATGGGGCTGGCACTGTGGTATAGCAGGTAAAGCTGCCACTTGTAACACCTGCATCCCATTTGGGTGCTGGTTCCTGTCCCAGCTGCTCCAGTTCCAACCCAGCTCTCTACTAATAGCCTGGGAAAAGAAAGGGAACATGACCCAAGTACATGGGCCCCTGTACCCATGTGGGATACCTAAAAGAAGCTCCTGGCTCCTGGCTTTGGCTTGGTCCAGGTCTCGCCATTGCAGCCACCTGGGGAGTGCACTAGTGGATGGAGGATCACTCCCTCATCTCTCTCTTACTCTGATTTTAAAATAAATAAATAAATCTTAAAAAAAAAGATGCCCACATCCTGTATCAGTGTGCCTGCATCTGATACCCTCTCTGGGTTCTGATTCCAGCTTCCTGATAATGCAAACCCTAAAAGGCAGCACTGATAACTCAAGTAATTGGATTCCTGCCCCCCTTGTGTGAGACATGGATTGAGTTCCAAGCACCCAGCTTCAGCCTGGCCCAGTCCTGGTCATTCTAAGAATTGGGAAACTGAACCAGCAGATGGGAGCTTTCTCTCTCTGTCTCTCTGCCTCACAAATTAGAAGCAAGAGCTACATATCTCATGGCTTGTTTTTTTTTTTTTTAAGTAGGTAAATTTGTTTGGGATATTCAGTATTTATCAATATCAGTTATTTCCTGCTGCCAATTATTCAGAAGGTAAAGATATTATCTTGCCAACTCAAGTATACAGGAAAGGTAAGATTTTCTTCTGTGTCAAGTTAAATTCTGTTGAGTGGTTGAAAATCTCCAGCAGTATGGAGTCTTCCTCATTTTTTGCTTTGGAGTTGTATCTAACTGCTAGGGATCTTAAACAGTGCCAAAACATCAGGATGGGTTATTATATCTGCTGAGTATCAAATATCCATGCTGGCATTAATGTTCTCTGGTTCACAAATGTCTGCACAAGCAGTCATTCAGTTGAGCCTCATTCTGGACTACAAAGTCTCTTTGGATCTGATTTTCTCTGTGGTTTTCATGTATCACTCATACACATTGGGAACATTCTTCTGCTCTTGTAATATGTTGGGGCCTGCTAATCTCTGTCCATCTGTTTTTGTCCCTACCATACACTCCTATGATACCATGACTTAAGGGAAACTATGAGGAGGACCAAGGCTTGGAATGTCTGTAGATA